ACACCACGCCAACGGAAGCCCACTAACGGCATGATACCACAATAAATACTTATTTGCTGAGAATCTGAATTACCACTGAAAGGGATTTTCTGGGCTTCTATGAGCATGATTCTCTGTGTCTGTGTGGACAGTGTTCTTTTTTAATATTTTGGCAAAATAGCCTTCAGTACTGAGTGCAGTGATATGACTTACAATAAACCAAATCTGTGCTTCAAAATCATCACCACAGATCTATCTCAAGCTCTACATGAATAGCTGAATAAGACCATTCCACAAACAAACAAAAATGGTCAGCCTGTTTTATGGCATAGGAGGTATCATTAAGGTCCCTTTATGCAAAATCCACATTTTTTCATGTCTTTTATTTTCTTTTAAATGTTATCATCATGTTTTATTGATTTTCAGTTACAAAAATCACATAACATTAAGGACGAAGACATAGAGCCAAAGCAATACACCTATACACAGGACAAATACTTTACTTTACATTAAAGAAATAACAACACTAAATTAAATGGTAAATACAACAAGGGCACTCTAATACATCGGCACCAATCCAGTTTTCCAGCAATAGGCGTATTTCTGCAAGAGGATAATCACAGCAATTTACATTTTAACATATTATAGCTTATCGCATTCTCCTGCCCAGGTTTCGTTCAGAAATTGAATAGGGCGTTGGTTCTTGGTATAACGTATAAAACGTCCCTAGACCTTCTGGAAAAGTTCTTGTTTGTCTTTGAGAATGTAAGAGATTTTTTCTAAAGGCAGACATAAAGAAAGTTCCTTAAACCACTGTGCAAAGCTAGGTTTGCCCAACTTTTTCCATGTTAAGGCAATCACTCTTTTTGCTTGTAATAAACATATATCTATAAAAATGTGTCTTTTATACATAAACATGTGTCCCCTCTGTGTAAAGGGATTCTGAAAGTTTCAGGAAAAAAGATTCGCTCACTTTTTGTCCTGATCCATTTATATAAAAACCTGTCTGAAAATGAGCTGATCAGATTTTGGCCACTTTATGATGTCATAACGATTTTTTGGCTTGTGCAACCATTAGCCAATAACCAACCAAGGTAACCCCCCCCCCAACCTTATCACCTGAATCTCCTCCTAGAGCACCATTGTGTTCTTTTTAACCAAATATCTCTCAGTGGGGCGTGGCTCCTTATTTTTAACCTAAAGTAACAGACAGAGAATCAGCACTTTTGAAACAGGGCTGAAACAGAGGGGATTATGGGATGCTACAATGATCTGTTTGGTGTTTGGAGCCAAACACTTCAGAGACATGTTTTGTATATATCCGAGACCTAAAATATATTGATGAAAAACAGTATAATAGGAGACCTTTAAGTTATGACCAAATGTTTTCGATACATCATCTGGAGATCATGCATGTTCTAACAAATTTTCATGGCAATCTTTCCGACAGATGTTAAAGTAATTTAGCCTGCAACAAAGGGATTGACAGACCAACTAAGAGAGACCAATAATGCCGTCAGCGTATTCTGCACTCTCTCTAACTCTCTCCTACCCTCACAACAGTCTTTTAAAAAGACCTTATACCAGGAGGAGCATATAGTACAGGGCTGAGACATCGGGAATCTTTCACATTTCTCCTTCCTTTGCTGAGGGCGGGAGTTCGTTATGCCTTCCAACCATCCCACAGCCATGTCATTACTATGCTGTCAAAGTGGTGTCAGGCTGTGGAGCTGAAGTGAGTAATGGGAGTGAGGTCACCATCTGCGGTACATGATATGACAGGGGCTGCAGGAGTCCAAGTCAAGTGAACAGCTCTTTGACATAGAGCTGAAGAGCTGAGCATGGCAGCATATTTGACAACTCCAGCTCAGAAAACAACACATGTCAAGTAAAGTGCATTTGAAATGCAGAGAGCCTTCATGCATGTCGAGCAATATACAATTTACATTTTTTGAGCGTTCAGTTTGAAAAAGGTGTCTTTGTTTTCGATCACTCGTAAGCAAAATGAATCTCTGAATCCCACGCAGAACATCATGTTTCATATAAAAGCAGCAGGGATGAACTCATGTTTGGGATGAAAGAAACAGGAGGGGGGGGAAAGACCAAAAAGAGCAACCATAAGAGACAAAAATAAGAGAAAGCGTTTACCTTTAACAACAAGTTCAGCAAAGTTTGACACCCCAGAGCCCCTGGGAGACTGGGTGACGCAGCGGTAAAGGTCTTGATCCGTTTGCTGGACGTTGTCTAGCTGGAAGGATACCACAAAGCGCCGGTGACTCAGGTGCTTGACTGATGCTGTTGTTAAAATGTCCCCATTGTGTCTCTGGAAGGCAAGAAAGGACAAGGTCAGAGAAAACACGACGGGTCATCATGTCACACACACACACACACACACACACACACACACACACACACACACACACACACACACACACCATCTCATAGAGTGTTTCATGTGCAATAGCTATACACACAGACACAGTTAGAAAAAGAAGAAAGATTCAAGCTCCACAACCAACCCTTCGCAGAAGACTGCCTTGAAGGCTTCCTGCCATGAATTACTTTCTATAAGTTTATGTTGCAACAAAACTACATTTTTAGGCTTAGGAAATGAACATGGTTTGGTTTGGAATAGACCTGATGTGGAAGAAACTCTCAAGAATAACTTGAAACCCTACCTGAACCCAAAATATCTATCCTACAGTCCCCATGATGCACCTCTGTATATCCTCTGTTTATTACACCCACATCTTATAATTGAGAAAAGAAAATTGACCTTGTTTGTAAAATGTTCTGTTTACACCAAGAATACGGATTTTGCTGATAGTATGGATCTGCTTTTTGAGAGTAATAAAGATTTAGAAATTTATTTTTTCTGAACTTGTCCCCAGACAATTTATATGATGTATTTTCTTTCATTTTATAGTGAAAATCCTAGTAGTTTCATTTTTGTCCTTCTTTACATTTTTCTAGTCCTGCTCTCCTTTTAGTTTACCCTTATTCCTTTCCTCGCTACCTGTCTTGTTTTCATACTTTGACGATATTCCAAATAGTAATTATGTATGCCATGAATATTGATGAATCTTCTATTCAAATGACCCAGGTGCACACACGATCCAACCTCCTCTGTTAACATACCTTCACACACACACAAACACTCATTCCCTATTAATTAACCCTTGTATGCAGTTATTACTCAGTGAACTCCTGGGACACAAAGCTAATCATCTAACAACAATAACAATAAAACAAGCTTAATTTATTGCTATCCAGGTCACTTCTTATAACGGCTATGTGATTAAAAAGAAGGATTGTCCATTTGTATGCAATTTAATTAGGATGGCAGGAGAATCTCTGATTTAATCATCAGACAATATGACAATCAGACATGCTTTAATAAAGACAATTGATATCTTGTTAAAATAAGAGTGGTTATGGGGGTTATACATGTCATGAATGTTGTCCCTTAATGAAGCCCATCTACAACCTCAGTTGTCCTTGGTGTGCAATGTTATTGAACTAAAACATTTAACTGCTCAGCAGTTAGAATTGGGAGACAGATGGGCTTTGCTGCATTAAGTTTTAATCAGTTTAGTAAATAGGCTAACGGAGGAATAGCATCATGTAGACTATGTTTTGGTATAAACAAAAAAAAAAGGTACATTAGAAATGGCTGTGAGACAATTGCTGTTTTCAGCATAAAGCAGAGCGTCACAAAGCAAAATCACAACATGAAAGAGATAGTTGGGGCAGAAAGTGGGAAACAATAGGAAAAAATTGCGTGTGATTCAAATGAATGTTGTATGATGCACCTTGCTGTTGCAGCCTGAGAGGCATTTCTCACATTGTTCCACACCATTAAAACTACGAGCACCCGTCAAGTCCACGTAGCCTCAAAGACAAACATGAATCTGACATTTTTTTTCACATGTTTTCAGGCCATTCTCTTTGTGTGAAATAGCCACCATGAATTTTGATACTTTTGATCTGCTAGTTTTTTACAGAACCTAAAGTGTGCGAGCGTGCTGGGACTAACAAGGAGTTATTCGGGTTACGCTAGGCCATCCCAGCTTCTGTTTTGCTTCTGATTTGAGCCTTCGAAAAGCCACAGACCACACAAACCTCAGGCCGAGCCTTCAAAAACAAACACATAAACAACGCCTACCGATTTGGGTTAAGCGGGCAATTAATCTTGCGACCACAAAGAAAGACTGAAAAAAATCCTAATCCCGCATCCTTCCTGTATCTTTTACATTTCCTTTTTTCCTACTAAGCATGTGGATTACAGAAAGGAGGCAGGGGAAATTAGGATAAATCTAATAAGTATGAGATCACTTCATGTTACGTAAACAATCTGGCTGTAGCTAATTGGCGAGGAAACGACAAAACGATCTGTTAATCTGGCAGGCGTGTGCAGTCAAGACTGTGCTGCAGCTGGTGCGGCAGACACAATGAATACCAAAGGGCACAACAACAGTAAACAACAGTATTGGGAGTTCATATGAAGAAAACCGCTCTAACAGACGCGTTACGCAGGCAGGAGGACGGTGAAGAGGACAGTAAAAGGCAGGGGAGAGGCAGGGAAGCAGCATTTCAGTGGCCTGGAGATCTCATTACAGCAGACGCCTGTATGGTTATGCCAGCTAATTACACAAAGCATTTGTCTTCATCCTTGTGCTGTGACTAAATGGCTGTTTTGATAAAGAGGTGGGAAGGAGGACGCATCAATTAGATAAATCCCACACCTACAAGTTTTAAAACAAGAAAGTAGGTTTGCCTGAGGTCAACCGTGATTAACACTTGCTGTAGTGGGGGGTAAGATGTTTGTGAAAGCAGTGGATGTGTGGCTGTGCAGAAATTGCAGCATGAGATGAAAAGCTGAAGAGCCCAACAACCCAATGACGTTTGGTCCTTTAATCAGGGCTACAGAAAGAGGAGAATTTTAAGACCACAGAGAAATTCCCACAAGAGCTAAGGACTGCATGGCCCGTCTGACCTTCACAGAGCAAGGCACTCTAGATGAAAAGACAGAAATCTAAAACACAGCGCATGATTTGAATAAAAACAGGAGGCAGTGAAGAAAGCAGAGAACACTATGATCTTATAAGCAATGCTAATTTTCAGAGGCAGTGAAGTGAGGAGGCTTCAAGGCCTTCATGGCCTTCACAGCATTAGAGCTCTGCTTCTACCATCTTTATTTAAGAACTAACGTCAGGGACACATCATTATTACAGAAATAGAGAAAACCTTGTTGCGATGGTTATTTAGGGGAACAGCCTATTTAAAAATGTAACAAGTATGTGAAACCTCAGTTTTACAATCATGAATATGTCTTTAACTGAATGATTTACATGGCATCGGGTTAATGAAGTATCAATAAACAAACAACTACAAAAAGACAACAAAGAAATCTCTGAGGACTACAAAGAGATGCAAAAAAATCTTAACAGAGAAGTTAAAAAAAAACTAAAAGCAAAGCTAAAGACCATAATGAGACCCACAATGACTATGGAGAGAGAAAATTACACAATACAACGATATGCAAAACAACCACAAAGACACTCAAAAGGACAACAAGGAGACACACAATGACTACAGAGCGCTGTGTTGTGTTTCCTACGGTCTGGGTGATTTACTGCATAACCTGCAGCACCTCCAAATTATACAGGATTTCATCTTTAAAGTGTGAAAAGTGCCCAAACCAGTTTTCTGTTTGTACTGTCTTAATATTTTTTAGGATGTAAAAATACTAAAAACTCACAAACTCCAGCGTTAAACTACTGACCTCCAGCAGGAACTTCTCAGCCTCAGCTGCTCTTCCAGAAGCAACACACTGGAAAGTAGCGTTTTGCCCAGCATTGACCTCCTCATCTCCTAGCCTGGAGAAGTGCGGCGCCTTATCTAAAGAGACAGACGGAGAAAGAAACACAGTGAGATCAAAAGACTCCATTACCTTTCAGCTATTCACAATGTCAGTCAGCTACACAAGATAACATTTTATCAAGGCTTTTTTTTCAAACGCATTAATAGGAATTTTAGACATTTCTGTTTGAGAAAACAATTAGCTTTATCCAATGTTTACCCATCGTGGATTTAATATCACAAACTTTCTTCATTCATTTGGAATTTAATTAATTGTGCTTTATTTGCTTGAATTGTTCTGATGCACTTGGTATTAACAGTTTTTTCTTTAACTTATTATATAATTGTTAAGTATTTTTGTTCGATTTCTAAGCATATTACTTACATATAAAGCAAAAACCTGAAATATTAGAAATAATGCCACAATCTGTGCAGAGAAAAAAAATAATAAAATACCAAACACTGGAAAAGAAATATAGCAAAAAGAAATCTCTCTTTTTTCTTTAGCTTTTTTTTTGCATTTGTTTGTTTATTTGTGTTGACAGTGGAGGATAGAAGTTGTTGCATTTCCTTCCACTCCCAGATTCTGCTCAGCACAACAGAACTTTGAATACAACTCAACATTAGAATAAATCAAGAATAAAAATATAGGATAAGATCAAATAAGATCAAAAGCAAACATTAGTGTGTATTTACAGTAGGTTGAGAGGGGGACTTAGTGTATGTTGCCATGTAACTTGCTATCAAACAGCAAAATCTGATAAGAGGCCATTTATAACGAGCAGAATGTGGGAGTGAATTTGCAGAAGAAAACCGTAAGTATGCATCAGCCCTCCCCATTTCGACTAATCATTTCCCTGCATGCTGTGCGGAGCTGCAAATGAGTCAGTGTGTGGGTGAAGCCCTCTCACCCAACTCTATGGTTAACAATAGTGGAGTGAGAAGCAGACTCCCGCAGAGCCAAATCACCGGGTAAACGCCGGGAGCACTGCCTGCCTTCTCTGAGAAATAGGGTCGGACAAGTTGACTTGTCACTCTGGATGATTGACAGGGAGAAATGGCAGAGCAACAGTGAAGCTGAAGCATTGGAGAGAAGCAAATATTTGGGTCTAACACATCTCCTGCTTGGCTCTGCACAACTCTATGTTGATATCTAGTGGGATGGGGGGGGGGAGTTGACAACAAATTGTTGATCTTGTTTTTTGTGAAGGGAAGAGTGCTCACATCTGTACCCTGCAGGTGGCCATGTTTCCTTTCAGAGACTCTCCCTCCTAAGGCTAATTCATAATTCATGCCTAAACCAACAATGAAAAAAAACAGGCCCTAAAGTGTGCAAGGACTGCGGTGTTATGCAGCTAAATGTGTCAGATCTTATCCTCGGGACACTTAAGCGTGATACATATTTCATAGCAGTGTATCATCAGTATCAGAGTCAAAGACCAAGACTCATGAGAAAAATAAACCAGAAATGTCAACTTGTTCATCCAGAATTCAAATAAAAGGAACTTGTAGAGCTTTTTATTTCTTTCCTATTTAATAGATTTTTTACTATGCGACACTTCCCTTCGATTTCTCACTCCTTGTTCTCTCCTCGCTGCCAAATATGAGGGCTGGCCATGTGCCACATCATAACGGCATGCTCAGGTCTTGATTAGAGTCTTAATTATTTAATGGCCACAGTGGGAGCATTCAGAAGATGCCATCTGCTGTCTCAGGGAGAAACAGGGTGACTGACAGGGTGGTACGCATACAGGGGGGGTACGGAACAAACTCACAGCCGGTGTTCGTCTGACAAAATCACTGGTGGTCTCCTCTGTGACACGACATGCCTGAAAAGTCTTCAAACATCATTGTGATAACAGCATGGGATATATAAATATTTACAGGGGGATACAGCTGAATCGCCATGAGAGAAAAATATCAATCAAGAATCAGTCACTAAGAAGAAGTAACTCCTGGATGTTAAAATTGAGCCCTCGTGTTCAGTAGTGGGTTGTACGTGGAGTGTGACACAAGGAGACTTTGTTCAGGTATTAAGCTCAGGGGATCCAGGAATATGTTTTACACAAGGTCCTCAGGGACTAACCACAAACTCGCTGACACAAAAAGTGAGTTGGTTACAAAAGAAATCACCCTGAAGATTCTCATAAAGCTTTGAAATGTTATGCTTGACCAAAAGCTACACGGCATTTCCAGTCAGGCCAGAAAAGTCTACAGAGAGAGGATTCAAGATTTGATCGATTAACACATATATTTGGCTGTCAAACAAAGGCAGGAGAGGCAGGTGTGTCGTCAGGTGGATGGGAGTTTTGCATTCGTGTCACACTGTTTTAATAGCATCGCTATTGTCGCAGTACGCCTCGGGAGAACCTGCAGTTCTCATATAACAGTTCGATCATCAGCCATCACTCTTGTTTTCATCCTTTGTTTGTTTCATACTGTTTTTAAATACAGATTTCGCCTAAAACCACTACGTTTTTTCCCCCTTCAGCAGCTTCTGTAATTGCAATTCATTGTCAGAAGTGGCACTTACAGCAGGGGTAGTTGAGCACCATGATGTCATCTATGGCAATGTAGCCTCGCCGCTCTCTGGAAACGGTTGCCTCAATCAGTACCTGCAAAAGAGAAGTGAGTGTGAATACATGATGAACAGATTTAACGTATGAGCAGAACAGTTCAAGCTTACACGTATGACTATCCTAATGCTCTCAAAGCTGAAGTGTAACAGCAATGTTCTAAAGCACATTGAGGGCTGTGTGAGGTCCACAGCTCTCGCCACTCTTTAAGTGACAGACACATTCATTACAAACATGCCCATCACCACATGGTTGCACATCTGCTGACCCAAAACAAAACGCTACACAATGAAAGAAATAAGACAGAATCATAAAAATAGAAAGATGGATAAGTTTGCCTTTGTCCGCAGGGCCAAAACAAATAATGTCTTTATCGAGGGGGCACACAATGTGGCGCCTGAGTCATGAGCGCTGTTCTGCATTCAGGGCGCAGGCTGCTGTGGAGCCATAACAGCAGATAATACAGCTAGCACAGGGTCACGACGAGACTCAAGGGAGGACAAAGCTCCATGCCGTCCTATGGAACAATAAGCTGGATGAACAGCGGGCTCTCATGAAACCTAATCAATATCAAATCACCATCCTAAGTAATACTGAGAGAGTTATGAGACACAGGGGTGAAGTTTGTTTTCACAGAACCAAGGACAGTCTCCCATCCGCACGTTTGATCGAAGGCCGGCTTTGAGTTATTGTTTCTCATAATCCTCTGACCAACTGATTACAACATGGTTCCTATCAAAAGGTCCACGCACACACACACACTCTCAAACGATCTTATATCCTCCAAACTACTTTAAATGTGTGTTTACACCCAGGCGTAGCTTAAATGGGTTATGCAAGATTGGAGCTCATTCTTTTCAAAGTCATAACTGAATCAAGTCACAGTGGCGACTTATTGTGTTTTAGAGTTATTACACCAAGCAGGGGTACCTGAAATCTTATAGCTTTATTTCAGTGATATTGTGGAAAGCTGTGGAAAAAGGTAGTAAGCGGGCATTAAGTAAAAACAGAATTATATAGTTGCCAATCATGGTGCCGACATGACTTTTTTCCTTGAACATAAAAGTGCAAACTACAGTCTCCAGGATATTGCAGTAGGTTTAACGGATACTTTTTTTAACCCTTAAATTAGACATTTTAAACACAACCATATGATCTTGATTTTCAAGATCCATCCACTGATGAAAACTTATGAGATGCAGAGATGCTTAAAGAAAAACTGAAAATGGGTCTTGATTTCAAGGCCTTTGTCACAATATGTTTTTGATACCTCACTTTAGGGGAATATGCAAAGTAAATTCTACAAATTCCTTTTTCTTTTTCACAAAATAAGTACAAATTCTGAAATACACAATTCATAAAACTAAATAACATCATGACATTTTAGTGTATGATACTTCCAACCGAAGATGTTCTGCGTTCTAGAGCAAAAGTATGACATGTTTGACGGTATGAGTATTAGCCATTTATTGCCAATTTTTGTAAATGATCATGTTGCTGAAAGAAACATTACAGATGATTTGTTTGATATCCAGACCAATAAGACCCATATTTTCTCCCCACAATCCGATGCGTTGGCACCCCAAATGAAAGGTTCGCCACAAACTTTCCGATACCTGTTGCCCAACTCCCAGACTTCCACAGTTAGTAGCACAGAGACAGCCCGCCTCCCTTGACTTGGAAAATAAGACGTATTATTACAGCAACAATTCCTAACAGCAACCCTGGCCATGAACGACCCCTGAAGGAAGGTGCACCGACACAACGTGATGGGATGTGAGGAGATTGGGCTCAGCTTGGAGACTCCTGACTGAATGAGACGCAGAAAGCCAGGCATGCAGAGAGAGGAGAGGCAAGGCTGAGGTTAAAAGGGGGGAGGTGAGAGGGAGAGGAAAGGTCCTGGCTGCTGGGTCTCAGTGTTGGAGAGTGACCTGCTCTAAAGCTGGCTGCTCTCCTCAGGCTCTCCTCTCCTTCTGCATTTTCATGTTTGTTCCCAGACACAGCTGGAACCTGAGTTGGAAAATCTTACTGCCTTAAAAATTGGATATAAACATGTTCTGTTTTTATGATTTGCCACTTTTCCCCTTATCTCTAATGATATATCTTCTTCAAAAGCCTTTTATCAGAATCCTGATTTCACTCTTTATTTCCATCACTTTATCATTGCCTTCCTTTATTTCCTTCGATGTCCATCTTCCTTTACTCTTAATGTGCACCTGCCTAAACATTCAACATTTACAGCAATGATTAAAGGCCTTTTTCTTTGAATATGTTGGCCTGAATTAGCTGTGCAAGCACACACCGCCCTGCCATTAGACTAACATCAAAATTAGCCAGAAACACTGATTAGGCTTAATGGTATCCAAGAAAGAGAAAAAAATGTCTTGCAAGTCTAATTGAAGGTGTTATTACTCTCTGCTGAGCTAAAACACTCAATAAGAGATTGATTACTGGTTAATCCTCAGTCTTCTAAGCCATTAGGGTAGAAGGTTATTAGGAGGGAGACATTCTGAGCATTTGTTTCAATAAACAACCTTCTCAGAATTTGATTGAAAGCCACTTTCCCAATGAGACTTTTGTACGTCTGTGCTTTATTCTAATGAACGGCTACTTTCCTTCTAAAAGATATGAAATGCAGGAACCATCTTCTGAAGACAAAAAACAAATAACAGTGTGACAAGCAGTGATTTATGACTGATATAAAATGCACATTAGGAGAAAATATTACATTACCTTGCAATATTGGCTTTTAGGAGCAATTTGTTATGTATACAAATCAAGGAATGATTTATCTGGACCTATAAACCAGCTTCTTCTACTTTTTCCACTTTAGTCAGAAGACACCATTAGACAAGGGGGGCTTTCACTCACCATTAGACGCCGTCATAGATAAATGACTTCTTAAATATTCAGACAAAAGGTCACGTGCTGAAGTAAATCTGTTCAGGTGGAAAATGCCAAAGGATAACAGTCTGTGTCTGAGGAGACGGTTTAAATCTTAGGAATCTCAATTTGCTCTCCACAGTATTTCACAAAAGCCTTTTCATTCAGCTAGCAGAAGTCTCAGCAGCAACAGATATTATCAGACAAAGCTGAGACATGAGGACTTTCATTTAGACGTCTTTGATGTGCTAACCACTATCTACTACTATCTAGCTTGTTGTTTATTTAGAAGAAATTAGTCTTATAATTAAACATGATGGTGTCCACGGAAACATTGTAAAAATACTATTTTATACAATCACGCAGCCCCAACTGCTTCAAAACAACTCAGAACATTGCAACAATAAGATGTTAAAAAAGAGGTTAAAGTCACTAGAAGACACAGAGTAAATATTAAGGCAAGACATGATGTGGCACCTTAAGTAAAACCCATGCTAAACAAATATGTCGTTTAGGTTTTTAATAAAGTCCCTCCGATCCTCAGGCATATTCTTCCAGAAACTAGGGCCACAGCGAATAATCGCTGACTCAACATGCATGACTAAAGGTAGCGGAAAGAGTTAGCCTTAAAAAGCATGCGTTATCCCTCATCCCTTACTTCTTTAGCACATTAATCCCTGTAAACATGAACTTGTCCTTTTTACACAATAGACAAACAACATACATAGAAATTATTTTGGGTTAAAAATAGTCCTTTTTTTTTTTTAAACCTAAAGTTCTGGACAATTTCTCCGCAGGTTGCAATGATTACTTACTGACTTGTTCTAAATTAGGGTTACCATGTATTGTTTTGTGTATGTATGTGTGCATTTGACATGTGAGCATAGTATGAAGGACATCTATAACAGGGGGTAGGCAGTCAAAGATTGAATTAATAATATATGCAATATAAACATGAGAAAGTAAAGCTAGAAAGGAGAAAAGCACGTCCAAATAAGATTTTGACATTTGGAAGGAGCCCGTGTTGACAGAAGAAAGTGAGAGACGGTAAAGAGAAGATGGGGACATGTCTCCTGCTCTAGTTGGCAGTCTTCGAGGGCCGGATAACATCTTTAATATTTGATAACAAGATTCTCCAGGTATTGCAAACACTTTTACCAATAAGAGGCCGAGAGAGAAAAATAGCAATGTACACCAGGCCCACACGACATATTCAATCGAGAAATCTCAAGGTGATTGTGCTCTCTTACATTTTCAACCCCAAAATCCATTGAACTCCAAATCCCAATTTCACATCCGTGATAAGAAACATATCTCATGTCATTGGTCACGTGATCAGAGAATAAGAAGAGTGGGTTTCGGCATATTCATTATTTAAGTTTTGGTGATTATCAGCTAAATCATTTGAGTGTTTTTACTTACATTCCAAAATGACATTTCTAAGACATGAACATTGATTGTGTGTGCTGTAAAAAACATATTTCATTACACTCTATCAACCTTGAGTGTAATCTCCCATCTGTACTGTGCAGTGCAAAAGGTCACGCTGACATTTAGTATCCCTGTGCTGTAGGCAAAGAACAGGGAGCTTTAATATAACTTCAAATCTAATAAGGTAGAAAAACCTTCAGATTTGAAAACCCTCTCCAAAATGATGTGTGTTCTCCTGGGATTTATTTTACCAGCAGAAAAGTGCCTATTTTCCCCCTTTGCTTCAAAAGAGTTATATGCTACAGTAGCTTAATGACAGAGTTAATCTGCCTGACTATCACTTAAAATCCAAAGTGATTGTACAAGACTTAGTATTTAAAGTCGCACAAGCTGCATCTAACGTGCTTCAGAGCTAAAAAGCCTCGGGTGAATTTCAAGAGACCTGTGTTGAAACCAACAAAGCTATAACCCCCCTGCTCTTCTTATTTTGTTTTCTTTTTATTGCACTGATGCTGGTTAATGACAGACGATAGCCAGCATTAAAAGGATATTAAAGAAAACATTCAGCCTTACACCTCCACATTTACCCTTTTCTGTTTTGTCTCTGAAACAGAGAGCGCTGACGAGCTGCAAGGCTGTGTCATTCCACAGTGATGAGCTTTTTCACTGCAGAGGGCTTAGCAATGTAAGCTGTGGTATATGTGACTTTGAGGGGGCAGTTTGTTTTGCTCTCTTTGTACTGCGAGGCGAGCTGAGCTGAGTTAAAGTAAAATGTGAAAATGAAAGCGGAAGAAAAGAAGGATAGCTTTGATTCCTTACTGTTAGACAGAATTGCCCTAACGGTGCAGAAACCTTTGACTAAATCCCTAACATTAACAAATGTAATATAATACATTTGAACATAGTGTTTTCCACAGGAGATAAAAGAAAGGTTTTCTAGCAGATAAGGATTGTCTATTTAAGGCTACACTGTCAATCATTTTTGTGTTAGGCCCATCAGAGATCACACCTCACCTCAGAGCATCCATCAGCACTAAAAACACTGTTTTCATCTCAATTTAAAAAATGTATCATAAGAGAATCACATAAAATAAAAGAAGTTTAATAAGGTTATTGTAGAGATAATGATTCACACTGAAAATGCCTCATTATTTGTAACAGATTTGAGCTAATGAAGAGCTTTGCTGGTGGGGGTCCTCACTACCCTGTTTATGAGGGCAGAGCTCAAGAGAAGTGTGACTGGCAGGAGCACTGATTAGTAGAGCTAGGCCTCTTGTTTACTCATTTGTAGCTGCTCAGCTGAGACCTCGAAACACAGAATATAAAGAACCAAGGTCTGTAGCCTCAGCTCCACTAGAACCTGTAACTTAGTGTTTTTTACACTTTGAGAGTTTATTTTAAAGCTATTTCTAATAGCTGACTTGACTTAATGTCAGTTTTTTCATCAATACATGTATCAATGCATTTAAAAATAACACAAAGAGGATTATTCTGTCCACAAATATTTGAACATTTCGGGAAATACACTTATTTGCTTTCTCGCAAAGACTTACTGTAGAAGACAAGATTGATAGCACTTTCATGTCTGTATGCCGGATATAGAGAGCCAGGAGGTAGTTAACTTAGCTTAAAGACTGGAAACAGGGCAAAACAGATAGCCTTGCTCTCCAAAGCTTAAGATAAATAAATAAAAATCCCCTACCAGCACCTCGAAAGCTCAATTATTAACATGTTTGTCAAGTGTGTATATATTTTTACATTGTCCAGAAAGCGCTGACCCTGCATGGACTACATAGGCAAAATTGTTTGCGTGTCAGTATTTCTGTATACTCTTGATTTGATAGTTTACCTTATTTTTAGATCATGCGGTGTTGGGAGAACAGTGTCAGCCTACATCTATCTTTTACATAGCGAAGGTCAGATCATGCAGAGCCAGATAGATTTTAATTAAGTTGGGGGGGATTGACAGTTCTTGATGAAATGCACGCGAGTCAACTTAATTGCTTTTTGACAGCTCTGCAGAAAAAATAAATTGGATTAATAGATGTATATGTGCTCACCTGACTGTGCCATCTACAGGCCACAGCACATCAGGCACCAACAGTAGATGCCATTCAATGTCTGTCTACTGTAGGAAGGCAATGACATGTCATACAAAATGTATTAGTCAGGTGAATACACAGAACACAAGCCTCAGTGGGTGAAATCTCCGCAGGGCATGGCCACAAGAGACCTAGTCAGGGCCCTTCGAGCACTAATGCTGGCTCCGTTCACAGGGGAATCCATGCTAATTAAATTGCAAATGCAAGTAATTAACACCAGATATGCCTCGAGGATAAAATGAGTGGTGGTCAACAGAGCCTAACTGTGTGCTGTTTTTCAACTGCACAAGATGTGGGCCCATGGGTCTGCAAATCTGATTCACCAATCCTCTCTCAACTGTTCAGCTTCTCATAAAATGACAGATAAATTACTCATCATTGTTATGATTATGAGTTTGTACCTGGTATTCATTCGGCCAGAAGGTGCTGACAGCCAGCTCCACCTGGTGCCACTGCTTAGCGTGAGACCCCGACGTGTTCCACACCGAACTGCCGAGCGGACCCCCGTTCACTCGGACATACGCCCGCAGGCCCCCTGGACTGTGGCCATCGCGGCTGTACAGGAAGTAGCTGAACTGGACGCAGTGCGTGTCATTTTCACTCAGCGTCTGCAGCATCAGCTGAGCACGATGACCCACGGCATGCTGGGAGGAGTTCACCAGCATGTAGGATCCTGGAAGGAGCAGAAGAAATGCGGCAGTTATTTTTAGTTTTCCATTATTATGGGAGATAATGCAACAGTTTATCACTTCTGCCATCTGTTAACATTGTCATGCATGTTGACATTTATTTTTCTTTGCATACTCAGCAAGCTTCTGAAAAAAAAAGAAGGAATTATTTGAAAAATTAAGGTCAGGGAGATTGGTTTTGAAACATTACCTCTGTATGTTTATTTTAACTGGCAGGTGTCAGCTAATATAGGCCTAAATATTATAACATCTTAAATCATTAAATAAAATAATAGGCTTTTACACTGACTGTCATAAAAGCGTCAAAAACAGACGTTACCCATAAGTTGTGAAAGCAAAGTAAAAAGTTACAAAGCAGCTGAATTGCCAGAAGTATTATATCAAGACAGATTGAATACTGAATCAAGAATTCCTTTTCTACCAAACATCAGAAAGCAAGTTCTGGCTTTATAAATAAAGTTTTGCCTGAAGCCTTTTAAACCACATTATCAGCATGAAAACGTCTATTGCAGAGGTTTTTCAACTGTTACTAGATTTAAAGATAAGTTGTGGAGGTTTGTACATAAGCCACTGAGGGATTTGTGTTAAGCAGACTTATAAGAACAAGTAAAACATCTCACAAAGGAACAAATCCGCTTTTAACATTTCTAAGCAGTGTGAATTCACAAGGAGAAAAAATGAAAATATTCTCCTGCAACTCATTGTTATATGTGTAGGCGGTTGATAACAGGAAAATAAATGTGTGTGACTCAAAATACACAATCTGTGCTGGCTACGACACTACTAAAGAGTGACACACGTGAGAGATGGAAGGAAAAGCAGACTAAGCGACAAAAAAGACCTGATGGCAGTTTTCCCTCCGCAAGGTGACGCTGAGGTAGGAAACGAGATTCGCCAAACCCCCCAAAGCCCCCTCTAATCAGGACAACATAACCCTATTGCCCTTTGCCTAGCATCTGTCCCGCCTTGAGTCTGTGCCCGCTAACGTGATTAGCACAACAATGTTGGGAGACCTTCCTGTGTACTCACATAATCAAGCCAGTTGTCTATGTACTCCAAGGTCTTTCTGTTCTCAGTCAGAAACAAGCCCGAGAGACAAGACACAGGTGTCCTGAAGACATTTATTCTCCACTCAAATGGAATAGCATGCGCATGCTGAGTTGCCAGACAGATACATTATTTACTTCCACATCCAAATCCATGAGGAGTTACTGTATAAGAACTTTTGTTTGCTCTTCAGGCACAGAGAAAAATAGCCTTTTTTCCTTCCACTCCATTGACTTGGTGTAGAACAAGACACCTGATAGAGTCATCTTAGTTTTCACCACCTCTACCTAGCTACTTAGAAAACACTAATTACCTCTTTAAGAGCAAACAAGACAAAACGCGTACATTCACAGGCTAATGTTTACCATAATGAGAGAGAGATTCACACCCCTTAACCCCAGGCTATAAAGAAAGTTAAGCTGAGGAGCAGAGTGAGGTAGAGGCAGTCATTACCTGGAGGCTAAAGTAGCCGCCTCAAAGCCCCATTGCCCTGCGGCACAATGTCAACTGCACCTGATTTGTGTCCTGTCCAGAGTTGAGGATCTCGACTCTCATTTAGCTTTGCTTAATTAGATCTTTCAGAATCTGTCTCCTCTCCTGCACCTTCCAGGGCCACAGGGGACTCGTAAAATAATAGCAAAGGGCTGAAGGGCTTCGGCAGTACTGTCCTTACCGCTGGTTATATCCTGGATGGGTGCCCCTTCCTTTATAAATAGACATCATTAGCTTTTTGTTGACTTGGCAAGTTACTATAATGTAGGGACACATGAAACAGCCATTACGCCACCTCTAACCTGTTCTGAGATTCACATGGGAGATTGGGGAAGTCACACATTTAATAAGGCTCTGCAAGTGAATGCTTACGATGTATATAAATTAAAATGTCAATGAATTAAACATTGTGGCAAATTTAATGAGGTCCTGAATACATTCTTTGTTGTAGTCCTGATCTACTGTGAGAAAACCCATTGCAGCCCATTCAATATTCAATCTGTGTCTCAGTACTGTACGATACCAGTCACCTCTGTGGAAACATTGGTATAACTGCCTTTTTTTATTTATATTTGAGTGTTGTATTGTCTTTTAAAAATGGACCTAGAGTCTCTTCCAATAAAACTGATGATGAATATAGAAAATATGAATCATTTTAGAGCAGGTCATTTGGCAAAGTCTGGCCTCTAGAGCCAACAAATTGATCCATCAGGTGAAATGCATAATAAATACATAAACACGTGAGTGTTGACCATCATTTATTAGATTTATTCTTAGAGAGCAATTATTCACTCAATTTCTTGAATGAGGTTATAATTAAGATGCCTTTAGTTTTAATTTTTGATTTCAAGGAATTGTTTGGATTTGTTTCCATATATGTTGCAGCAACTATTTTTGATTGATTGAACAATTGTTTAGTACAATGAAAGACAATAAGGAAATATTCCCATAGTCCAAGGTTACATCTTAATACAATTTAAGTTTAGTTTGACGAACACTAGTTATAATAATATATATTTCTCAAGACATTTCTTTTCAATGATATAAAACAGATATAAGCAGCAAAAGCTCACAATCTAGAGCAGTGATAGACTTGTTAACCTAAGGGTCAGTCAGTTTATCTCTACCTTGAGATGGGGACATTCTGAAAAACATCTTCAGAAGAAGCCGGGCAGTCGGAGAACTTGTTAAAGTGAAGACTCAGAGTGACTGATGTGACCTTCCCTACAGTAAGTAATGCGCCTCACTGCCAATTATGAATCCTTCGCTTTATCTGAAAAGTACCCCGCAACTGGAAGTTGTCCGCCTTTATAATTCTTAGGTCCAAGAATGTACACTTGGGCTGTAGCTGTCAGTATGTCATCAGCACTTAAGCCTTATTTCTGTGAGTTGATTCACAGGAGAGTTCTGACACTGTTTTTTTACATAAAGACGTCTGTCGATTAAGTTGTAAATGCATATACGTTCAATTCATCTATTGTGTAAGAAGATCATCAGAGTTCATTTAAAAAAATGCACTGTCATTGATAGATATACTTTGCTGTTACTGTAGGCCATATATATTTAACCATTTTAAAGCATATTGCTAATTAAATTGTATTCACGTTTTTGCCTCACGAAGTATGTTTTGGCTTTTTTGTGATTAAAGTTTTTTTGCTGTAAACGGAGAATAGATAATCCATCTCTGGTTTATTCATCACTGCCACTCTTGCTTCCGTCTGTAAGTTTTAGAATTTATTTTAAGGTTTGTCTGATACCTTTTAACACTCCACATGGTCAGACTCCCCGTTACATTATAGATATGTCAATCCAACAAGAGTCTTGGGGGAGTCTAGGGCAGTCTAAGATAGAGGTCTCTTGGTTGTTCCAACAAATTGCCTGATTGCCAATGGTCTGCTTTTCAATCACAGACACTAAGGTTTTAAACTCCATCTCAGCCCTCAGCCAAACCAAGCTCACTTCTATCTGATGGCTCTCCTGGTTGTATTAGATCACCTTTCAATGCACAGATCACATCTTTCACTGTGCACCTAGCTTTTATTTGTCATATTTATTCCCCTTGTCCTTGTTCTACTGTGCCACCTCTTTGTTTTTTCATGTTCATTTATTTTCTTGTTTATATTTTTATTAAAAGGTAAATGCTGGATTAGAACTAATCAGATCAAACTTAAGTGTTTAGTGCTGACAGACAGCAGCTTTCATAAATTATACTCCAAGGCACTGTGAAATCTGATAAAGGTCCATCCATCCATTGGTGCCTCTCCCAAGGGCGAAAGAACGTCCATAACAAGATTAGGACTGATCCAGCACATCATAATTCATAAAGAGCACCACTGGACTACACCCTGGTCACAGCCTTTAGGTGACACTATCTGTGGCAAGCCACAACAGTCTGAGCAGGGAAAGGAGGTCGATAAACAACAGAAGGTGGGGTACGCAGAATTGATACATTAAGTAAGGTCAAAAATATGGGAATGAAGAGATGTTAATAAGGATGGGGAAAAAAGGTGAAACAGAATGTATATATGTTCTATTTATTTTCCTCCTGTTAAATGTTCCGACCTTTTTCTGTATGACCTATCCAATAAAATGTTGTTCCTCTGACAGAGTAATCAAATACACAAGAAACTAGAGGGAGCAGAGGTCTGAACTTAATAGAATCAATGGCTGTGTTAGGGTTTAAAATGCGTCCCTGATTCTGCTTGCTGTATCGTTACTGGCCAGCTATCCTTGGCCTTGATGCTTATCTTTTCACCAGGTGTTCTCATTCTGCCCTGTACCACTGACTGCTCTGAAAAGGTCATGTGGGATTTCAGACGCTATCTTTGATGGTCTGCTATCCCCAAACCGTCTGTTTATTTAGCGGTGTCCTCAATAACCTTCAGAACAAATAAATAAGTAGAAAAAAAAAAAGATGTGGAGCTCGAGCAATTTCCCTGAAAGGCACATTAGTGTTGTCATTCCCCTGATGTTTTGCCTCCCTCTGAGAGAAGCAAATGTAAAATTGCCTCATAATGTAGTGAAATTGTTCACAGCACAGTCAGAGCTCTCAGTGGAAGACGCCACACTAACAGACATAAGCACCTTGTTGCTAACACCAGACGTTAATGTGTTTGGTGCCCATCGCTGTACAAAGTAAATGACTAATAAAGTTATTATTTGGTGTTTTTTTTGACTGTCTGACCTTATGAATAATTCTAGACAAGCCTGGAGTTATGTAAAAAACAAAACATAAATAGAGGCTTTGATAAAAGGAAAACCCGTTGGGAGGACGGACGAGTTCCCATGCTAATGGAACATCTCACAGAGGGACAGTGCAATAATAACACATCACACAGACTTAATCGACTTATCAAAATGACACGCAGTGACAGGGTTCCTGCTGGGAATCTGAGCCTAAAAAGCAAAAAGCAAAGCAGCACAACAATATCCTCTAAACTTACAGCAGA